CTTTGTGTTGAGTAATAAAATGATGTTGTGAAGATAGTCCATCTTGTTTATTTTCTTAAATTGTTCTTTTGTATTACAAATTGTGAAATTTGAGAATTTTGGATTTTCTTGTGATTTGAGAAAATGTTTTTTATTTCATCTCTTGTATGATTGTTGTGATGGACTTGAATTACATTCGAGCACTGCCGTAGAGTGTTAGAGGTTAGCCTATCCTAATGGGGGTGAGATGGTTTTCTAACACTTGTAGTGGTTTGTTATTTGTGAGAGTAACTACTATTGTTCACTTAAGTTCGAGGCTGAGAGATAGTATACCTTTCTTGGGAAGGATTCGTCAATGCCGTGAGAGACAATATACGCCCTTCCTAAAATGTTTGGGATTGTGTGATTGTGGTTGGTGACCGAGGTAGAATCGTGGTGTAGATTCATGGAAAGCAACCAACATACATGAGAATGTTAGATAACGTTATTAAATGAGTATTCGATTTCTATCACTCCGACATGTTTATTCCTTTCATTTAACATATTGCTATTGCGTTCACTTGAGATCAAATAAATGGTCACTGTTTTATTTCAAAATTGCTATATGATATCTGCGAAATGAGACCAACTTGTTTTATATATTTTCTAAACCTTGTTCGAGTTTGGAAGGAATATTGCTACAGAGCTTAGTGCTCACCCCCTACAAACAATATATTTTCAGATTACGTGTTAGATGAGGAGCTCGGGGTCAATGAGCAGATGCATTGGGAAGCTCTACTAGACGGGCACGTGGAACCCGAGGTGGATGCTTAGGGCTATACCCTCCTAGGTTCTAGACTAGGAAATTCCTTTTGAGACTCAGTGGAGTCTAATATTTTTGTTATTCCACTGCAAGTTAAATTTGATTCTTTTGGATGTAATTGTCATGGTTGAGCATATTCTTTTGGGATGATGTTGTAAATATGAGATATAAAGAATGTGTTTTTATATATTCATGAATTTTATTAGTTGTTCTCATGATGTGAATGATTTTAAATTGTAATGCCGTCCAAAGTGATTTTTGGGGCGTTACACTAACCAAGAATCTCAGATAGTCAATCTGAACATGAGCTTCAACAAAAATCTTAAATAGTTGAGTGGTGACCCAAGACGGAACAAAGAAAACCTACATAAGTACATAATTAATACACCAAACAACCATCAATTCTACAGGAACTAAACTAATATTTTGATTATAAAAAATCTAATTTTAGATCAATTTCGTGGCAGAGAAGCTGAAACTCACCTTGTCCCATGACGAATACTATTGGATTTCTTCAAATTTGATTTGCACATAATCTTCTAGGGTTTCTTCAAATTTGATTTGCACAATGATTGAATCTACCAAAGGAACTAAAGAAAAGGGGCTGAACTGATTTGTTGGCTGATTTACCTTTCTTTGGTTGATTCATTGATGAATACACCAAAGGAATTAACAAATAAACTAAATAAAAGAAAGAAGAAGGGCAGGGGCTAGCGCTGGACTACAAGTTGAAGATGGCTTTCGGGAAGTCAGGAAGACAAAGATGGGCTTACGGGGAAAAAAAAACAGGCAATGAAAAGTGAGAAGATCAGTCAAAAGTTAACTTTTAAGGTTTAAAAATTACATTAATATACCCTATATTTAAAAAAATTTCAGTGGGGGAAAATGTAAGAAATTCTTGAAATTTTTAAAATTACACCTAGGTCCTAATTTTTTTTAATATTTGCCCCCACTGCCCGCATACCAAATCCGCCTTGACTAATAAGTAAAAAAAAAATTACAAATTGGCCCCACTTAAACTCATAACCATTTAGCCATGTAATATATATCCACTACCATAAGAGGAAGTGAATACTGTTTTATACCTTTTTTTTTTCTTATTGGATGGTTACACCCAATATTTATTCCTCAAATAGGGTCATAACTTTTAAGGGCATGTTTAGATGTTTATTCTCTGGGAGGTTTGGATTGGATTTATGAGATCTTCCCAAACCCAACCCCAAGGATTTGTACATAGGATTATATCATATCCAATCCCATGTTTGGTAGGTGATATAAACATATGTGGGGTCCATAGATTTATATCAAATCATATTACTTTGTTTACTAAAATGACTATTATTAGGTGAATATAAGAATGGATTTTTGGGAAAATTAGTCTTTTGTTTTCAAATCCAATCTTTCACTTTTGAACCTCATTCCCAATAGGTTTCATCAAATTTCCATTTGTGGGTTTTAATCAACTATTCAGTACGGGCTAGAATTCATTTACCATATGAATCTTGAGCCTTAAATTTTGAACCAAACACAAGTTTAGAAAATGTATTGGACTAAAACCCACCCCTTAAATCTCATTCAAACCCACATACCAAATATGCCCTTAGTAAGAGTGGATGGGAGCTTATTAATCAACTTGAATCTCTTGCCACAATGGATGTGAGATTTTAGTTCATCTTTTTTTTAATGAACACACATAAAAAGATGAGTATTTAGACCTAAAAAATTGATATAATTTGCTGATCTAATAATGTGGAATAAGTGGAACTGTTTGATCAACACCAAGTTTCAATATTTAATAGGGCACACAGTTAATCTAAAGGTCATAGTAAATTAGGTCTTAATAACATTACTTTAAAAGATACATACATATTTTTGAACATAATTTTAACCAATATGTTACTGTTTTCACAATAAATCAGAGTGGGCTGCATACCTATAAGTATGCTTCTCAAGCACGTGCGAGTCATGATCCAACAGGATCCTGCAATGACATACTTTTGCAAATAATGCTATTAATGTTGTAAATAATATGATTAAGTGGAAGACCCATTACTTTCTATCATTTGCTATACGAAAGTAAATTGTATTAGTGTATAATCCATGACTCCCCACCTCTTGGTGTGCCTAAGTAAATGTTTGTAACTATTACCTTTAGTCCCCATTAAGATTGGAGAGTTATAAAAGGAGGGTTTCACCACAATGAGAAATATAAGTTGAGAAACTTTGTTCTCTAACATTTCTATTGTCTCTTATCTCTTTACAATTCTATGTTTTATAATTTATTTTTTTTATAACACATTATCGGCATGAGTCTCTATCCAATTGAAAAAAGGGGCCTACCCTTTATTTATCATAAGTCAAATGGTGATTTGATTCCATAATCATTACTTAAGCAAAGTATGAGCTAAGTTATAGAATTGATCAACAAAGATAAGAACAGAGAGAGTAGAGAAGAGAAATATAAAATATTGTCAGGCAAAACCATTCTGTTAATGTAATTAACCTAGGAGTACACAAAATAAGCATTATATATTAGGGCAACACAACATAAAGTAAATACCTAATTACCCTGAGTATTAATACTCTAATAGTAAGTACCTATATGCACTATATTTGTAGTTTGTTTCTTTTATAAATATCTTGCAATTGATGGCAGAGACAATCTTTTTCTCTGTTTTTGGTTCAATGATAAAATATGCATGCATTAGATTTTCATAGTTCATGAATACTCATACCCAATGATATCTTAATCACATGAATATGAATGTTGTTACGTTCTGTATTATTTCTAACAATTATATATGTACTCATACCCAATGATATCTTAATCGCATGAATATGAATGTTGTTACGTTCTATATTATTTCTAACAATTATATAAGCAACCAAGTAGATGTTGTTTATACTTGCAATTTATGTAATTCACGTTACCATTTGAAATGAATAGATTATTGTTCATTGTATTAGTATAGTTTCAATGGAAAATTTATATTTAATATTTTGAGTTAGAGTTTTCGTGGATCATTGAAGAGATCCACCTTGATCCTATTAATCTTAAAAATTATTTATATTGACAAAAGCATAACGAATTGATTGGCAAAAACAACAATTATTCAATGTTAGAAGCATAATGAATTCATTGCCATAAATAATGATGAATTCACTGTCAAAAGAAAAATGAATTATGTATTGAAAAATGTTCATTAGTGACAATTTGATATTATGGATCATGAAGATACAATTGAGGAGGAAAATTAAGCATCTCTGAAGGATCGCACAAATACAATTATTATCCTTCACCGCCATATTCTTGAATAATAAAGTTGATTATTTTATGATAAAACACCCATATATTAATTGGAAAGATATAAGTTCCTGAAGATTTTAATCCTCCCAAATGCTCGATGCACCTGAGGTTGCAAGATCTAAACAAACTTGTAATTATGTGAAAAAAAAATTCCGAAGAATATATGTTCAAAAATAATAGATCACATTTCATGATTCGAATGTGATCTTATAGTAGCACATCAAGAGACTAGATCCATAATTGATTGATATCATGTGGTTGGAAACAAAATAATAATGTTGTACCTTTGAGGACAATTATCAATCTCATCTAATCAAACATACATCATTCCATGAAGAGAATGTGTTTAAACAGTCTTGAAAACAAATAGATAGATATTGAAGATTAACTCTATATAGTTATTAAAGAACCAATTCTTGTATGCTATGTTGTAACTTGCATTTGTTTTATTTCCTTGACTTTATATTTTATTACATTCTTGTCACCCTCCAAATTTCATAAAAGCGTGATTATAACAAATACTTTGTTTATTCCAAATACACATGCCGGTTTGTTGTAAAAAAATCTAGAAAAGTATGTCCTTAGTTTAAATAAATCATTTTTTAGAAAATTTTGATAGAGTTTCCTTTGAAAATTGGGCATCCAGATAATTGGAGAGAGTTATTTGTGAGAGAATTAATCACCGTGGTTGATAAACCATTGTACTGACGACAATACCCCAATGACTTGGTGATCCTGACAGCAAGGTCCGCTCTTTTACTCAGGTACTTATCTTTAGGCTTTAAAGGGCATTTATTGCCAAACCCATCATATCCCCCTTTATAACTAGGGGTTAAAATCAACATTTTCCCCTTCGCATTTCATAAACATTGGGCAAACTTGCAGGAGATGAGTAAGTAGATAAGGGAGAAGATGAAGAGGGGTATCTCTAGTGGTTCTACGTTGGAAGTCTCGGCGAAGGAGAAGAAAAATGGGGCCCTGATCTTGGATGACAATCTCAAAGGCTTAGCCATGGGTATTAATGGCAATGAGGCAATAGGCGGCTCCAACTCGCTGACCCAAGCACTAGGCGACGCTAGTGAGCTGATGGGCGGCGCTGTGAACCTTATGGGCGATAGCAGATTGGGTTTGGGCGGCACCGATCCTGCCTCCAAGTGTTTGGGTGACACCGATCCTACTCAGTAATCTTGGGATCGATCTAGGCAAGTGACACCGACGCAAGAGTAGTAGAGATTGGGAAGGAGGCTAGCGCTATTGTGGCTGGCTCTTGTGCACTGGGACAAATGGGTGATGTCAAGGTCTTGAGCAAAGCCAGCTTCGATAAGGCTCTGGAGAAGGAAGGCGACGCCTTGGGTCGCGAGGGTGATGCTTTGGGTCTCATAGGCAACACCTTGGATGTCATAGGTGGCGTTTATGAGCAGAGTGGTGACGCCCATAGGGCTAATGTCCTTTATATTGGTGGTGACGTCGATGAGAACTCATAGGACAAGGCTCTCGTATAAGGGGGGGCAATGCCTTAGCTGACCTTTTAGGTGGCGCCTATGTCTCCTTGGGCGATGCCATGGGTTATGTGCCAAAGGTCAGCCTTGTGCGGGTAGCGGCGCCCATGGCGCTGGATTGAGTGGCAATGCTAATGGCACTAGTGTCCTTCTCGCTAGTCTAGGTGGCATTATTGGTAGCTGGGGGCCGGCTGGCACAGGTAATGAGGGTGGAGTATAAAAAAAGGGCAAAACTTCGAATGGCCATGAGTTTTGGCTTAATTGTCCATTTGAGGCAATTTTTTTTTAATTTGGGTATTTTTTTGAGATCTACCATGTCCAAACTACCAAGGACGGTTTGGGCCCTGAATTTCTCCAAAAAATGCTTCTTTCTCACAAAATTTAAACTTCAACCACAAAAATAAGAAAATTTTTTTGCACATGTCTACTTTTTTATATTTTTGACTATGCGAGGACTCAACTCGCCTTTCTTTGATGCTGGTATTCCCTTGACATTGACTTTGATTTTGTCTTGGTTCTATTTGTTGGCAGGCACCCACTCTAACAAGGACATGATGTAGGTTGCTACAAAAGGCTCTTAGCGAGGCGGGGGATCGCTAAAGGCGATAGTTCAAAGGTAACCTCTATTTTTAGCTCAATTGACTACAATGATGATGTGGCCTGCATTATATCTTCGTACCTCATTCGTCTTGCTATTATGTGTCACTGGGTCGAGAGGGATGAGCCGACATGTTTTGACTCCTTTGGAAAAATCATTTTTTGTGAGGAAGTTTTAGAGGCAGGGTTGAGGTTCTCTATACTTGGACCATTTGTTGGATTTTGGGGCACCTGTCATTGGCTCCAAGGAGGTTGACTCCCAATAGATGGAGGGTGATCCTAGTGTTCTTCTCATTATGGCGGCTAGTTCATAATGCTGATGTTCCTCCCTTTGTCAAGGAGTTTTTGACTTTGTATGTGCTTTTGGAGAACCCTACTCCTCATCAAGGGTGGTTTTGTTTTGCCCCTAGGATGGGGAAACTTATTACTAGACTACCCTCAAATTGCCATAGCTAGAAGTTTAGGTTCTTCTTCGTCGGAGGCGAGTGGGCTGCTGAGGGAGATCGTGACTTGGTGCCTTCAAGGTGAGACACTGTTCCATGGACCAAGTTAGGTAAAAATTTCACCTTTGCTTTTACATCTAGTCATCACGTATCTATTCTTACCGTGTGATTGGTTCATTTGCTACTTTACCCACATTATCTGTGGAGCAGGAGAATCGACTCAAAGTAGTGTGTGATCATCTTTTCAAGGAGTTTTTAGAGATTATGTCTGCATTGGGTTTTCCCAAAGTCTCCCATAGGCCAAAAAGGAAAGGTATATGATCTTTTCAATAGACACTACATGGTCACGACGTTGTAAGCTTTTTGTCTCACACCAACTCCGCAGGTACCTCTATTGATAGAGCGATGGTGGAGGCTTTTTACACTTCCATGGTGGCATCTTTCCCTCCTTCCTCTAAGAGGGTGAAGTATGATGCCCCCTATGCTTCTCAGCCGAGGTTTGTTGGTTAGGTTAGTCCCCGAAAGGTGGGAGCCGATGATGCCCCCACTCCTCCCCCGGTTGTTACTCCATTACATTCCAGGGATAGCCCTAGTACGACTATAGGGATTGAGGCTCTAGTGCAATGTCCTACGAGGACCAGAGCTCCACATAGGTGTCCTTCTTCTAGCAGTGGTTTGTTATCTATGCTGTAGGACGTGAATCTGGTCAAGGAGCAAATTTGGGGATTTGTGACCACTATGGAGATCCAAGAAGTTGGCTCTCGGGGTCTAGAAGGCATCATTAACACTGCCATAGAGGGTTTTGCTATGGTATGCTTTTTTATTTAGCTTTGATCTTGTACCTGTCTTCCTTCTTTCATGTTCTGACTTTTGAATGCTTGTAGATGGCTGTTGCTTTTCCCTACCTTTCATGGTCTTGCTAGATTTTATAGAAGGTTTGTAAAGGATTTTAGCACCATAGTTGCACCATTGATTAAAATCATTGAGAAAAGTGTAGGTTTTAAATGGGGAAGGGACCACGAAGTTGCTTTTAATTTGATTAAAGAAAAACTTAGTTCTGCACCTTTACTTGTTTTGCCTAACTTTTCTCAAACTTTTGAAGTTGAGTGTGATGCCTCAGGTATTCGAATTGGAGCTATTTTAATGTAGGGTGGTCTTCCTTAAGCTTATTTCAATGAGAAGCTAAATGGGGCAACCTTGAATTACTCGACTTATGATATGGAGCTTTATGTATTGGTGAGGGTGTTAGGGACTTGGCAACATTATCTTTGGCACAAGGAGTTTGTCATCCACACTGATCATGAGTCTTTGAAACATTTGAAAGGTCAAGGTAAGCTGAATAAACGCCATGCTAAATGGGTTGAATTCATTGAGACCTTCCCTTACGTTATCAAATACAAGATGGGGAAAGAGAATGTGGTTGCTGATGCTTTATCTCGAAGGTAAGCTTTAGTTTTCACTTTAAATGCAAAGTTGCTTGGTTTTGAGTACATTAAGGATTTATATGCTATTGATTTTGACTTTGCTAATGTGTTTGATGATTGTGAGAGTTCAGGTTTTGGTAAGTTTTATAGGCATTATTGGTTCTTGTTTCGAGAGAATCGATTGTGTGTGCTTAATTGTTCAATACGTGAGTTATTAGTTAGAGAAGCACATGGGGGTGGTTTAATGGGACACTTTGGTGTTAGGAAAACCTTAGATGTTAGTTGAACACTTTTTTTGGCCACATATGAAGCGGGATGTTGAGTGAATTTGTGAGAAATGTGTTGCTTGTAAAAAGGCTAAGTCTAAGGTTTAGCCCCATGGTTAGTATAATCCCTTACCTATACCTAGTTCACCTTGGGTAGATATCTCCATGGACTTTGTGTTAGGTTTACATAGGATAAAACGGGGACAGAATTCTATGTTTGCTGTTGTTGATAGATTTTCAAAGATGGCACATTTCGTTACATGTCATAAGGCCGATGATGCTAGCAATGTGGCTAATTTGTTCTTTAGAGAGGTGGTGCGTTTACATGGAGTGCCTCGGAGCATTGTGTCTGATTGTGATGCTAAGTTTTTGAGCTATTTCTGGAAGACGTTGTGGGGTAAGCTTGGTACTAAATTACTCTTTTCTACTACTTACCATCCATAATCAGATGGGCAAATCGAGGTAACTAATCGTACTCTTTCTACCTTATTGCGTGCTGTCATTGGTAAGAATTTAAAAACTTGGGAGGATTGTTTGCCTCATGTTGAATTTGCTTATAATCGTAGTTTGCATTCTGCTACTAATTATTCCCCTTTTGAAATTGTCTATGGTTTTAATCTTTTAACTCCATTAGATTTGATGCCTTTACCCGTTGATGAGTGTGCTAATTTAGATGGAGAACGAAAGGTTGAATTGGTGAAGCAAATGCATGAGAAAGTTAGATTGCACATTGAGAGGCGAACGAAGCAATATGCTACTCAAGCTAACAAGGGGCGTAAAAAGGTGGTTTTGAGCCTGGAGATTGGGTTGGGTGCATATGCGAAAGGAGAGCTTTCCCGCACATTGGTGTTCTAAGTTGCAGCCTAGAGGAGATGTGCCTTTTCAAGTGGTAGCACAAATAAATGATAACGCTTACAAACTAGATCTTCCTGGTGAGTATAGTGTTAGTGCTACTTTTAATATTAATGATCTTTCTCCTTTTATTGCAGATGGCAAAGATTCGAGGACGAATCCTTTTGAAGAGAGGGGGAATGATGCAATGCAATCTGATCCGTTGAGCATAAATGGAGGTTCTATGACTTAGGCAAGAGCAAAAAGGATGAAGGAAGCATTGAATGGGTTGATTCAAGACATATGGGCTATGGGCTGATTGTGGAAGTTCAAGCATGGAGCATGATCCACTTGGGAAACAAAGATTCATCAACATGATTCAAGTTCTAGAAGATTCCGGCAAAGACTAACCTTAAAATTGGCATGTTTAAAATTGGTTTGATTGTAAGACTTTCCTTATCAATTTAGGTGGGCGAGTTATTTTTTTTAGGAAAGAAAGACTTTCCTAGTTTAATAAGGCATGTAATCAGCATATTAAAGGGCTGATTGTATTTTTTTCTTTTAGGAAAGTAAGAGCTATTTCTTTATCAACAAGTAAGAGATATTTTTTCATCAAGTAAGAGATATTTCTTCACCAGCAAGTAAGAGATATTTCTTAAATAGGATAAGCTATTTTAGGAAGTTTTATTTGTAATAACCAGCCTATAAATAGGCATTCAAAACATTATAAAAGACAAAATATTTTTATGAGTATTGTGAGGTTTCTACCTTATTGTTCTTCCAAGAACTATTTCAAGGATTTATCAAGAATTAATCTTTCTTATGGCGTTCATTGACTTATCGCTCAATCTTGAGTGTGACGTCTTTCTCTTGAACTTTTAACCATGGGTTCTTGTTTCTTGCAAACATTGGGTCTAGGGTTCTTGGTTCTTATAATCTAATTTGTGAACTTTCTTGGGAAGTCTTCAGTCAATTTGCCTGTGGGTTATTGAATTCGTTTGTGGGTTCGTATCAGTTGGTATTAGAGCTCTCGGGTTTGTCTTCTCAAATCAGGTTGGTTATCTTTGTTTTGTGCACATATAATCTGACAAAGTTAAGGTTTCTTGTTGCTATTTGGTGTTTCTTTTTCTGTTTATGTGCATCTGTTTAAAAAAAAAATTCATCGTGCACTGTTCATTGCGATTGTTCATTGCAACTATTTTTTTTGTTATGTTTGATTTGGGCTGTGGCTTGCTGTTGGAGTTTTAGTTGTTCTTTTTCTATAATTTTAATATCAATTAGGGTTGCATAATATGGGTAGAATTGAATACATAACTTGCTTGTGAATTGATTGTGAAGTCTGTTTCCCAATTACGCGTAGTTTGCCTCTTTTTGTGATCTGATATCACGAAGAAAAAAAAATAGAGAGAAGAAGAAAAAAAAAG